TGGTTTCCAGTGAGGATGGGCCCCAGTGCAGGCTGGTGACACTGGTTTCCAGTGAGGATGGGCCCCAGTGCAGGCTGGTGACACTGGTTTCCAGTGAGGATGGGCCCCAGTGCAGGCTCCAAGCCTGGCAGAGCCTTGGGGCTGCCTGTGGCTTGTCCCTCAGCTTTGCAAACAGTGGGGAGCTGAGCCCTGCAGGCAATCTGGGGCTGCTGCACCCCAGACACCTCCACAGCTCCAGGGATTTTTCTCCAGGTTCACTGTTCTGCTCCCTGTCAGCCCCAAAAGAGCCCCAGTCAGCAATGGGCACGGGGAGCTGGGGGACCTGGTGAGTGCACAGAGCCACCCCATGAACCACATCCCACCCTACACTGGTGCTCCTGGACCACAATTCCTGCCTGGATGGGGCCTTACAAGTCTCACCACGTTATGCTGCTTTGCAAGAAAAAGGTGGCCGAGTGGCCCCCGGGCTGTGGGAGGGGATGGAGTGTCCCTGCTCCCCTCCTGCATTCCCTGGAGCTCAGCTCAGGGGCTCAGGATGCTGCCTGGCTCCTGGAGGCTTGGCAGGGAGCCTCCAGCCACAAGAAAGACCCAAGGGCTGGATGCTGGAGATGAAAGCAGAAGGGTGGATGGCTTGATGTTAATAAAAACAAAACCCAACCCAAACCCTCCAAACAACATGTCTGAGGGCAGCTGCACAAGGCTTAAAGCAAAGCAGCTCCTCACAGCATTCAGAGACCATGAGTCAGGGGCCCAAAAATCCTGGGATTGCCATGAAAAGAGTGAGGCTGGGAAAAAAAATAATTATTTAAATTTTCAGGTTTGCTTTTGGGGGTTGTGATAAATCTCCTGCTTTCAAGGTTTCCCCTGCCAAGGCTGACCTAGGGCTGGGCTGCAGGGCCAAACCTGTGCATCCTATTGTGGATACACAGAATATTGTGTATATGCCATGCACTGACCTGTCCATGGGAGCTTCCAGAGACTGGGAGCATCACTGTGCTGGCCCCTGGGGAAGATTCCACGGGCCTGGGGGGTGGCAGTGGGAGCAGAGCAGTTTGCTGGGAGAATAAGAGGGTCTTTAATATGGACTGATGGAAGGAGGTGTTTAATATGGACTGATGGAAGTGGGTGCTTGGGGTTCAGGTGTCCCAGCCTGAGATGGGGCTTTCCAAAGGCTTGGCTCCCATCTCACTGCACAAGCAGAGTGGAGCCCATGTGGATTTTATTCCAACCCAGCAGCTAAAGGTGACCCCGACACCATCTGGGTTTGGGAATGTAAAGGGCTGGCTCCTCGCTGGAGCAAAGAGTTAAAATGGGATTTTTCTCCCCTTATTTTCTAATTTTTAATTTATTTGGCGGTGGCTTTGCCTCGCTCCAGTTGCCAATTTCCTACTGGTTTAATATTGGAGATTTATGACCCCTAATCCCGGCCGGCCTGGGTGTGCCCTGGCCAGGCACGGTCCCTCCCCGTGGTGCTGGGGGTCCCCTCACTGCCCAGGTCACTCCCTCAGCACGTGGTTACAGGAGGGATTGCTCGGTGCTTCCCCACTCCAGGAATGGGATTTCTCCACCTTCCCGGGCAGTGGAAGGGTCTGTGAGCACCCGGGGTGGTGCTTCCCCCCATGCCTTGTGTTTTCCTGTGGATTCAGGGGTTTTTCTCCCCCCTCTCTCTTTGCAAGCTGCCTTTTGAAAACACGTTTTTCCTTTTTTCCAGCAGCCCCTGCCAAGCTCCTCTCGACAAAGGGGGTGACTAAGTGAAGGCTCCGCGAAAGGAAGGATTTTTTTTCTTCACTTTTTTTTTTCCAAGAAAGGGCAAAGTGAGCAGATGATCTCACCTTTCAGATGAGGATCCTGTTCCTCACCCCCATCCTCTCCCCGATGCTGGGCTGGGGACACAGGACCCAGCACAACTCTCTCGGATCACCTGGGCAGGATCAGGCCCTGGTACAGCACAGGGGGCTCAGAATCAGGGGGGAAATGAGGTTTAAAAGCTTCAAGTTTCCTTTACCACAGCCACAATGGATGAGCCACAATCACACAGAGAGAGGGAAAAGCCCCAAAGGACAGGATGAAATGGCAGCACCCAAGTGAGTAAAGGATGCTCCCACATCACCTGGATCAGCATCACCTGCTCTAATCAAATAATCCCTTCTCCTTTTGGGCCACGGGGGAATCTCCACCCTCAGTGGGTTCAGCAGGGATCCCCTCTGCTTCCCCAGGCTAATTTAAGTGACCCCAACCCAGTGAAAACCCTCCTCTACCCCTGGATTTCTGGGAGCTGGGTGACCCTGCGCTCCCCCACGCAGCCAAAACAAACCCAGAAAAAGCTTTTCTGCTTCTCTTCTTGCCTTCCCCCCTCCCCGAATCTCCCAGCCCGCCCTCCCCGCGTCCTGTTTCACTCCAAATATTTGCACCAAAACCCATCTCGCAGGGAAAAAGCCCAATTTAAAATAAAAAGAAGAAAAAACCCGCAAACCCAACAAAAACAAACAGATAAGAAAAATAAATAAGGGAAAATATCCCCTTTGAATGGCTGAATGAAGCGGGGAGCTAAAAAGCCCCATTGAGGAGCGCGGGCGGATGATAGCTCCCGATTGAGCCCGCGGGAGAAGTAACTCTGTTCAAGCTAATTAGGGCCTTTTAGGACATTCAGCACAGCGACGGCAGCAGAACGGTGAGGAAAAGAGCCTCCTAATTGGCTTCCTGCTGGGGTGTCAGTCCCAAAGTCTTTATTATCCCTCCCTGCACCTTTTCATCCCTTTCTTCCCTCCCTCACCCCGGTGAAAGCCAGGACTGCCCCGGCACGGCACCGCTCACCCTGCTGCCTCGCCAGGCTGGTTTGCCCTTGGAAAAGCAAATTTGCCGTGGCTGTGGGGCTGGTTGGGGGTGTTGGGGACCCCTCCAGATTCAGGAGGGCTCGGCTGGGAGCACCCCAGTTCCTGCACTCGCTCACCCAAACCAGCAAATGGTTTTGGCTCACTGGTGAAGCTGCAGAAGTGCTGCTGTGGGATAAAAGAGAAGAGAAAAGCTCTTTCCAGCTCCCCTAATCACTGCTCTGGGGGTATCTCTCCCCTTTTCATGGCTCCAGGGGTATCTCCTGCCCAAAAAAGCTCTTGAGCTGCTCTCATCTCCCCAGGGCCTGTTGGAGCCCATTTTACAGCCTCAAACAAAACCAAGAGTGAGCTTTCAGCTGAACCCCCAACACCCCCTGGTGACACTGGACAAGCCAAGGAGCAAAACCACAGCAGGGCTGCCCCTCCAGCAAAACCCAGGTGCTGCCACCACCAAAACCTCCCAATTCTCTCCCCAAGAGCGCAGGGAAAGGTGACACTGCCTGGCTGGAAACGTGCTCTGAGGGGGATGCACTTGCCTTTTTGTCCTCCCTTCCATTCTCCCAACCCCTGGGGCCGACTTGGATCATGACAAGTCCGAGTTTTTTCCTGCAGTCAAGCAGGAACTGTTTTCTCCCCTCTTCAGGGGGCAAATGCTCCAGTGTGAGCTCAGCTCTCAAGACATGCTGGAGAAGCCAGGTGGGAAAATGGGGGATGCATGTCCACATGTGGGAAATGTGTTTGTAGCTTCTTAGCCAGCAGAGAATTCACCCACAAGGAAACCCCACAGCTTTAGTGGCCTGGGGCTCAGCCCTGCCCCCCTCCTTAATAACCCCATATACAACCTTAATAACCTTTTAGCAGCGACTTTCCCAAGTGCCATTAAACCCTTTTATCCAAGGGAAAAGGCATTCCTTGGACCTTTCCAACACGTGCTGAACCTCCAGCAGCTCCTATGAGCACGACCAGACCTCGGCACAGCCTTGCTGGATGAGGACCACAACTGCACCCCAGCCCTGGCACCTCACCCTTGCCAAGGGATACTCTCTGCTCCACAACCATTTTGCCATGTGGATAAAGGAAGAATAAATGGGAATGCAAATAAAAGATTTGCCTCCAAGGCCTTTTCCCCTTCCCTGAGCTCACGGGGAAGTATCAGAGCACAAAGCCAGTGTGGAGCATCCCTCAGCCAGCCCTGCTGGGAAGTGCCTTGTCCAGGGATGGGCTGTTAAATGGGAATTCGTTCTGCTCTTGCAAACACTTCCCAGACATGCTGAGCTGCTGCTGTGTGTTTGAAGGAGGGAGGAGGTATCTCCACTCCTGGGTGTTTTCATGTCGATGGAATGCGATGCTTTTGCTTGATAGTTTGGTGGAAATGTATATACACACAGATACAAACATACACATGCATATATTTATATCTAGATACAGATATGTATTCCTCCACTGTGGAGGGAAGGACTGGCAGGCACTGGACAGATGCTAAACCCTGCAGCATCTCATATTCCCTGGTTTTTGCATGTGTGAAGGCTCAGCTTTGAGCTAGGCTTGCCAGTGCTCAGCCCACTCCCCATCCCTGGGTCAAACCCAAAAGCTCATGGTTGGTCCTTCCTCCAGACACTTCGCTCCCCTCTCTACAGTCCATGGAGGGGGGAGATAATTTCCAACCCCTCCATAAGTTTAGCTGCATTTCTAACCATCCCCTGGCACACGGCACCTGTATTTAAGGAGATTTTTCCAGGCTGGTTCTACTCCTGACACTCAGCTCATCCCAGCAGCGTTGGCATGGCTGGCAAAGGAGGGACAGAGCAGAGCCATCCCTCCCCACCTGCCAGTGGGTGATGTCTGAGCCAAGGAGGAGAGAAGCTCCTCCTGGGGTCACCCTGGATATGTCCTGCATGGACACTGCATGGACTCACTGGTGACCATGTTGGGAATGGACCCACGTTAAAAATAATCCCTGGAGCAGAGATCTTGGGATGTGCCTGCTCCAAGCCACTGCTGCAGGGCAGAGCTGTGGAAGGATTCTCAGGACCCTGGATACCAGCAAGGATTCCACAGTGTCCCTGGCTTGTCCCAGGGCTGCACCACCTTCTGAACTGTCCCGGGATTTAAGGGGGATGGATCTGGGTGACAGGGAACTGCTTTCTGCTCATCCCCACGGCAAAGCACATTTTTTGAAACCTGCTGCACCTTATAAAGAGAGGAGACATGGTGTCATTGTAACCAAGAAGACATTGGAAACACCTGGAAAATATGAGTCTCCCTGCAGATGCTAAGACAATCCCCTAATCAGGGTCCATAATGTCCTCATCCCAAATTCCCAAGAAACACACTGCATCACTTTCTCCACCAAGCATTGCTGCCCAGGGCTGCCTGTCCAAACCTGCCAAAAATCATTCCCAAAACTGCACACGACCCAGCACAGGTAGAGCTGGGCTGCCCATGGCTGTGACTGGAACACAGCCAGCAGCCTTTCCCTGGGCTGGGAGGGCTTGGGGACACCCCAGAGGGGGATGCTCCTCCTCGGCATCCCTTTGCCACCTCTCATCCCTGGGAAGCAGCGCTGAGAGGGAGGACTCACCATAGTCTTTCTTACAGTACTTCTTCATGTTGATCTTCAGTTTCCCCTTGGAGGCTTTGCAGTATGAGTCACAATCTGCACGGAGAGAGGGGGAGGGCAAGAAAACATTAACAAAACAAATTAGCCTTAAAATGAATAAAGGGCTGGGGGAAGGGGGGACGGCTCAAAGCTGCAGCCTGCCATGAATAAGCAGCGTGCCTGTGATATCCATCTGCCAGGCCCCGATTGGGTCGTCTAAGGGGGCATTCAGAAAACCCTTCCTTTCTAAAGAAAGCTGCTCACAAAGGAAACCATCCTCCCGCCCGCCTCCCCCAGCCCGGCTTCCCTGGGCCGCCTCTGTCTTCCTGGGAGACCCCGGGGGCCTCCCTTATTGTGCCACCCAGAGCTTTTGAGAGCCACACAAATTCTCCCTGTTCTCCAGCTCCCAACTGGAGCCTGCCCGGAGCCCACAGAGGCCCCATTGTCACCCCTAACCCGGACCAGTGTCAGCCTTTGGCATTCATTGCCGAGAGATTCGGGCTGGGGTCACCCTCCGACAATGCGGGTCAGAGAGGAAATTAGCAGCCCATGAAGCATTAGCAAAGCCTTTTGGTGTCCACTCTACTGAAGTGTGCAAATAAAATGCCCCAGTAGGAACATTTCATTTCTAATGGGCCCCCACTGCTGGGACACGCCGGCCGTGCCCGGGCGGCGCAGGGGCCGGAGCGGCGGCAGGCGGGAGGGCTGGCACGGCCTCCTGGCACTGCCACCAGGGCTGGAGCCGGGCCACGGGCCCGGGTGGCTGCAGGGATGCTGAGCCCTGCCCCGGGAGCTGCTGCTCCCCAGGGACCTGCTCCGGTGAGGGATGTGGGACGTGGGATGTGGCTGGACGGCATCACGCGGTTGGTGCGCTCCAGCCACTGCTGGGAACATTCCAGTGGTGCCACAGCTGGAGATGTGCCACCCCATGCCAGCTCCCAGAATCGGGGTGGGCTCATGGACGTGCTGCCCATGCACATCTCATGTCTCCTCAGCACCCACAGGTGCTGGAGAGAGGTTCCCAACACACAGAATCCCCTTATTCGGGAAAAAATGGGATGTCTGGTACAGTGACAGCCCTCAGACACCTCCACTGTCCCAGCTGCCCATCATCCCTGCACAGCCACCCATGGAGCCCAGGTGTGAAAACTGAAGTGCCCCAGCAGGGCCCCAGGGCTCTCTGAGCAGGGTGGGGATGCAGGGAAGGATGGGAATGCTGCTGGTATCCCACGCCAGTGCATGCCCGGTGCCCATATCCTGCCCCAGCCCACGTGGGCAGTGCCAGACCAGAACACACTTGCCCAGGCAACACCCCCTCCTCTCCAGTACCACGACATGAAACCCTGGGGGAGAAGCTGTGCAGCATCTTCCCTGTCCCCTGTCAGCGAGGCTGTGTCACACTCCAGGGTGGCACATGCCACAGCCTCAGCAGGGCTTGAGGCCTCATTCCTTGTGTGCTGCAAAAGCCCTTGCAAGAAGCAGTTCCTTCCCAGGGACACTGGCACTAAGCAGGCTGGGAGGGGAAACAGGCACAGAGCTTGGAAGTGGCTGCACAGCCACAGCAGTGGCAGCATTTCCTGGCCATAGCTCTGTTTGCAGCTCTGCTGTGCACACAGGGGCCGTGGTATGAAGCCAGCTTTGGGACAGGGCCATGCTGGAGGAGGTGATCTCCAGTGGTGGATGCCCAGAGCCAGCCCAGGCAAGGAGGGCAGGTGTGGTGCACTGGGTGCTCTGCACCCTCTCAGCTCACCAGCCCCAGTACAGGAGGTGTCCCTGGAGTGGGAGGTGAGTTCAGAACCATGGGGAGCTTTGTCAGGTGGAGAGGAGATGCTCCAGGAGGTCTCATGGACCCCAGATCCAACTCTGCCAGGTCCCTCTGGCAGCAGAGCCAAACCCAGCCTGAGCCAAGCAGCAGCTGAAAAGTTTGAGTGGAGGAACTAACAAGTGAAGGAAACTCGAGGAGCTGGACACTCACACTTGCCAAGATCATCAGGTACCACCTCAGTACCAACACCTCTGATCCATGTGTGCCCCAGCCCCTCTCAACATGGCCATGAAGAGTCCCCCAGCTCAGCACCATCCTCCTGCCCCACCTCTGCCTGCTGTTCCCACTCCTCAGGAGAGCATCCACAGGAATACATGGCTTCATCTTTCAGCATTACCCAGTCAGGGCCAAAACCAAAAGCTATGATTTGAAGCAAGACCCCTTCCTCCTCCAAGAGTCCCAGCTGAGGTCTCTGCACAGCTACAACCCAGCCAAAGCCCCTCAAAACTCAGGAGCTGAGCTGATGACTGAGGGTTTCCAGCCTCTGATTCCATTTGCTTTTCTCATCTAACATGACTCTGAACATTGAGTAAAACTTGAAATGCACTGAGAAAGGAGTGGATATTCCATAAAAACTGCAGTTCAGATGATGGAGATTCACTAGCAAAGTCCCAGCCATGCCTACGTGGCAGGTGGGGCGTGACTGCCCGGTGTCCCTGAGCTGGGGGAACAGAAATATTCCTGATCCAACACACTGGTAAGATGTTCCTGGCCATAAACATTGCAGAAAAAGTCTATAAGGGAACTAAATGTGCATGCAGTGACCTGACAGCTCAGAGAGGCTTCCCCTCAGCTGCTCAGTGGAGCAGGGGATGACAAGGGACAGACAGGCCATTGCAGCTCCTGCAGGTTTCTGGCATCATTCTGCTCAACTGTGGATGTTCTCAGGACACCAGCGTGGTTATGATAAACATGGTGATGGTTCTCCCCTGGCACAGAAATCCTGGAGCTCTGTGGATATTCACTGCTGCTGTTACCCCTCAGCCCCTGGGCAGCAGCTGCTCTGCAGGGGCAGGTGGAGAGGGAGCAGCTGAGCAGGGACAAGCCTGGGAGCTCTGGCTGCACATCCCTCCTATCCTGGCCAAGTCAGACAGATGCTGGCAAGCAGCTGGCTCTGAGCACTAGTGGGGTGGACAGAGCTCCCACCTCCACGGCTCAGCCCCTGGATCGGCAGGGGGGTCTCCACCATCCAGGCTGATAGAGCCCACCTAGAGCAGATCCTCCTCCAGCCCAACTGCACTGCTTTGGGATCCACCCCAAGAAACAGCAATCAGACAGAAACCATTGCTCTGCACTTCAGTCCAGACCTCTGACAGGAACAACCCCAAGTCACCTCAGCAGCCTCTCCCCACAGGAACATCACTAACCACATCTGAGCTTCCCAGTCCTTGCACCACTGCTATGATAATTCCACACTGCCTGAGATTCCAGACCTGCTGGAAACCCATCCTAGTGCTGTTTCCCAGACAGGGAGCCTGTGGGGTGATTGGGCACCAACCAGCTACCCCACACATGCTGTAGGACAGCACCCTATCTCCACAGCACCCCATCCCCACACCTCTGCTTGCTCCCAGGGCGAAAATCTGGAGCTCAAGACACCCACCTACAGCTGGGTCTGACCCTGTTTTGACTGACACAACCCTGTCCTGCCTTCTCTTTTCTCTTTCTCCAGCCCCACAGGCTGTGCCAGAGCCTCAGCTGGTTTGAATTGAACTCTCTGTGGCCAGAGCCAGCTGGTGTAAATCACAGTGAATCACCAGATGCCAGGGCTGGTTTCCGTGGGTGGGGGATTTGCCCCGGTTCATTTCCTTTGTCTCCAATGTAGAGAGCTCTCCTGCCTCCTGGGTGACTTGGAGGTTCTGTGGGGCCTCTTTGGGAGGGCAAATGAGATTTCCCAGAGCCAAGCATTGAGCCAGTTTGGCTGGGAAGCACTGCTGTGTGCATGGGGTAATGCTGAGAGATGACTCTTGCTTAGGGAAAGTGTGTGGAAGAGATGCTGCAGGATGTTATTTCAGTGCTGCCTAACGCCTGGGACAGACCCTGCTCTCATCCACCAAGGGACACTTCAGCATTTGGGCTCTGGGGAAGGTTTGCTGAGCTGCTGCTCCCTGATGGAAAGTGATAGTGGAGCTGGGGAAGGGATGGGAGGAAGGATCAGCTGGCTGAAAGGGGAGGAGAGGGTGGATGTGGGGCCCAGGGTGCTCTAACAGCCGTTCCAGTGACTCGGGGGTGTGCACAGGAGGTACAAACCATGTGAGACTCTTACAAAAGTTGTTCCTAGATGGTTCTGTTGCAAACCTCTGGAGTCCCAACACGTGTTGCTTGGTTATTCCAGAGCCTTGCTGTCCTGCAGGTCCCTCTTGCCCCTCTCCAGGAGGCTGCAGAGGATCAGCCTGAGGTAACCTGCCCATGGAAGGTGATGCCAGAGTCTGGCCAGAAGGTCAGGCTGAAGATTAAGGGAGCTGCCTGAAGAGGTGAAGCCTCTTTGGGGTGGGGAACAACCTGGTACCTGAAGCATGGGGTGATCGGTGTCCAGGTCCTGTTCAGCCAGGTCCTATAGGTGGGATGTGGGGGCACCAGGAGGGGTGGATGGTGTCAGGCCCAGCTCTCTGCCCACCGTGCTGTACGAATGTCCCCTGCACACGGGGGTGCAGAACAAGGGTTGGTGCTCACCCTGCTGCTGCCCTGCCCTGCTCCTCCTCCGGGCAGACCTGTCCTCTCAGCCTGCCTGGCCCTGGGCAGGACCTGAGACCTCTCTGAGCTGCTCATAGCCTTAATCTGACCCAGCCACCCCCCTTCTGAAGGACCCAAACCCCCCTGGCTACAGCACAGCGGTGCAGGAGAAACCAAGTGCTGATATCCAAGCACCCTCCTCCCCTGCTCCCGGCACTTTCCGCCCCGAGTTTGCTCAGCTGCACAAATATTTCAGAGCAAATCCCAGTTTCAGAGGCTCAAACCCAAAGCACAACCAGACCTTAGTGCCTTTTTTTTTTTTTTTCTTCATCACTGCCTCCCGGCGCGGTGACATCCTGCTCCTCCCTGCCGGCTCCCCGGGGCCGGGAGCGCCCTTCCCTGCGGGAAAGCACCAACTTTCTGCGTTTCCCGGATAAACAGAGTGGGAGGGGATCTGGGAAGAGGCGTTTGGCGCTACTTGTTCGCGGAGGGAGCAGGTGGCGGGCGGCTGGGGCGGCTGTTTCGTGTCCGTCGCAGCTTAGTAAAAAGTGTCAGCACA